CCCCAAACCCCAAAACCCCAGAAGAAGTTAATCTTCTCATCTTGATAATTGAATAATGAAATAAAGCATAAATATCAAGATTGAATAAATTCAATGAAAGTCCTTGTTAATTCTAGGGTTTACTGATTTATAACTGCTGATTGGGGAAAGAAACTTAGAAAAATCAGGCTGATAGTAATCATTATGAGATATTCTAGACGTCTCAAATGAGAGGTTAAGCTCATTTTTAAAGATCTTCGGAATCACTTACCCAGTGTTGTACCTTGGCCAGATCTTATCGTATTTTTTTTCTTTTTACTTCATAATTCTTTGCAAGTATCTGTCATGGCTTTTCGGATCTAAAATTCTATCAATATCATCGACATCTTCCTTTTTTAATTCATTGACAGGTGATATCTAGGAATGTGTATTGTGCTTTCTATCAGTTTACTCTGTGATTTTCTTGGCAATTTGAATCCTAGACTTTTCTTATTCTGACTATTTTACCATTTACTTGCCAATCTTGTTCCTTTAAATCTCTTCAACGATAAAATTGCTCTTAGCTCTTTTTGGTTTTATGGCTTTACTCCCATCTATAAGCTTTAATTATTTTTAGGTGCTTAATTTGCCTTTCATTTCATTATTCAATATTATAGTAGGAAGACTTTAAAGTTTTCCTGGTATTATTCTCTGAGATAATATGTCTTTTGTAATAGAGGGGTAGTTAAATATTTTTAGTTGCGGACTTGAATTCGATTGAAAGTCATCATCTTGATTATCCATATCAATTCTTAGACTGCCAATTATCGACTTACTCCTTTATTCGAAAGATTTTTTGCCCATTTATGAATGAATAGTTTAGTTAAATGAGGGGTTTGAAGATTTATCATTGCCCAAGTTTTTATATTTTGTATATAGTGACTGAGAATACTACGAATCCTTAAAATCCATTGGGGAAAATCCAAATCTGCGCCAAGCATTTGAATTTACTCCTGATTATTCCTCCTTTTATTGAAGCTCCTAATATATTTGTCTGAATTTCTTCGATACTTTAATCTTAGGTTTATTAACATCTATTTGAAAGAAGAAGTCACACTATTGAATGGCCCTCTGAGCTTCAGTTGTTATCTCTGGAAAAATTGCTGAATTTTTTGAATGAATGCTCTGATCTAGATTTAAATTCGGCATTGATTAAGAGACTAAGCCTTTTCTCATGTGCGTCTTGTTAAACTGTGATCTTGAGGTTGCAGACAAATCTGAATACTCAAATGACATCTCTTATATTGGCATTAACGTTGCTTTCAAATCATGAGGAACTATTTATTGGATAGGAGTTTCAATAACTATATCTCCTTTAGAATCACTTTATCTTTGTCGTTTACTCGACACTGATTCTTGAGAAGCAGTGTTATCTCTAGTCTTTTGTGAAGTAGTATCTGACTGATTATGATTGCTGTTATTACTGTTGATTAGTTCTTGGCGGACCTAATATCCTTTCTCAGTATAAATTATTCTCATTTATATAATATTCAATATTTAATTTCTTCAAAATAAAATAAGCGAGAAATTCAGATTCACGGGGTTTTGGGGTTTTGGGG